GTGTCAGTGTCACGCAGGGCAGGGGCCGGGGTCTCGGGGGGCCAGGCCGGCTCACATGACTGAGCAGCATTTACAGCGTTGTTTTTTCAGATCGAGGTCCTGGGGGTCGCTGGTGGTGGCCTCGGGCCCGGCCTGGTCCTCTTCCCGGGAGCTCGGGGTGGCAGTGGCCTCCGGGGCACTGCCGTTGGGCGGCGCGGCCTCCTTGGGCTCAGCGGCGTCCTCGATGACCACCAGCTCGGCTGTGATGGTGTCTTGCAGCCCCAGCACCTTCTTGGTCTCGTCCTCGTCCTCCACGTTCTGGTAGCCCATGAAGATCATGGTGACCGGAGGCTCCTGGCCAGCCTGGATGCTGGCCGGGCCTGAGGTGGCCTCGCCAGGCTGGGCCTGGACCCCGGTGATCTCTCGCCTCAATGGTGTGGTCCGCACGGTCTCCTCCGCCGCCACCGCCGCTGTCCCCCGGGTCTCTGCCGCTGCCGCGGCTGCGGCTGCCGCCTCGCTCAGGGTGACCTCGTCCGCCTTGTGGATGAGTTCGTCCACCTCCAAGGAGCTGAGCGGGTGGATCCCATTCTCTATGGTGCCGTCTACGGCATGGACCACTGTGCGGGGACAGAGAGAATGTGAGCAGCAGGAGCAGGAGGCCAGCAGAGGCGGGGGGGGGAAGAGCAAAACTACCACCGACTGACAATTACAGAGCTTGCCGGGTGTGTCGGTGCGCGCCCGCCATCTAGCTCTTGGGTAGCCGAGGCAGGAGAAGCACTACAAGTAGAAGGCCAGCCTGAACTATGCAGTGACACCATCTCAAAGAAGAAACAGGAAAGAAAGCAAGAAAGAAAAGGAAAGGAAAAGAAAGGAAAAAGGAAACCTAAAAGCTCCCTATTAGTAGCTGGGTGTGGTGGCTCACGCCTGTCATCCCAGTACTCAGGAGGCTGAGGCAGGAGGATCGCTGTGAGTTTGAGACCAGCCTGGGTCCAGGTCAGTCTCAACTACATAGTGCTATTGGGGTAGGATAGGATGACCCCACAATCTGGGTGTGGGCAGGGCTTCTGATTCCTTCAGTCTTTGGCTTCATTTGGTAGTTTTATTGTCGTTGTTGTTGTAGTACTAGGAATTGAACCCAGGGAGTACTGAGCTACCTCAACTGTCTTTTTACTTTTTATTTTGAGACAGGGTCTTCTTAAATTGCTTAGGCTGGTCTTGAACTTCTGATTCTCCTGCTCAGCCTCCTGAGTAGCTTGGATTATGTGTTACAGAGTGCATCACCAGACCCGTATATGTACTAGCAGTAGGTTTGTTTCCATTTGGTTTGGTTTTGTTGGTGCTGGATTGAATTCAAGACCTTTATACTGAGCCACACCCCCAATCTTTATATTTTAGTTTGAGACGGGTTTTTCATTAAGTCACTAAATTGCCCAGGCCGGCCTTGAATCTGGGATCCTCCTGCCTCAGCCTTCCAGAGTGCTGGGATGACAGGTGTGTGCCACACCCAGCTGTTTAGTAGAACCTGAATCACAGTTTTACTCCAGTCCTGTTTCCTAGTGACTGCCCTGAAGGCTGTGCTCAGGCCATTGACATCACACCATCACGTCTCTGTCATTTATTACCTGGCCAAGGGCCATGAGGACCCAGAGGGACCTGGTCCTGCTCGGCACGGGCTCCTGGCACAGCCCAGAACCCTCCTGCCAAGCCCCAGCTGCTTGGGGACACGGGAGGTGGCCACAGTCACTGTCTCCTCCCGGCCAAGGGTCAGGGCTGCCGTCCCTGGACTCCAGCCAGGCGGAAGGAAAGCACACTCCACTCTGATTCCCAGAGACCCAGGAAAGGATGCCTCTGGGGACTCTGGTGGCCCAGAGGGCGGGGTGCGCCCTTCCCCACTGGTTTCTGCCCCAGACAGGAATCCGAGCCCTGGCTGCTGTGAAAACAGAGCACCTTTCGTTGCTAAGCAACCAGAGTCCAGTCTGACAGGTCCTGAGTCCCCAGGGGCTGGGGGAAGCCAGGCAGAGGTGGGGCACAGCTCCGGGTATAGTCCCCCCTGACCAGGGCCTCAGGAGACTACTTTTTTTGTGACAGAACTAGAGCTTGCCAAGCAGCTGGGGCTCAGCAAGAGGGTGCTGGGCTGTGCCAGGAGCCCCTGCAGAGCAGGACCAGGTCCCTCTGGGTCCTCATGGCCCTTGGCCAGGTAATAAATGACAGAGACGCAATGGGACCCAAGCAGATATGTACCCCGATGCTCCTCAGGAGACTACTTTTTTGTCTGCAGAACGAACCCAGGGTCTTTGCAGTGAGCTACATTGGCAGCTCTTTTTTATTTTTTATTTTGAGACAGGGTCTCCTTAAATTGTTAAATTGCCCAGTCTGGGATTGAACTTGTGATCCTCCTGCCTTAGTCTCCTGAGTAGCTGGGCTGTCAGGCGTGCGTGACCATGGCCAGCATGACAGGACCCCTTGAGGAACACTACGGACCTTCCAGAAACCAGAGTTACCTCTAAGAGTATCAGGCTAAACAGCCTGACCTGGCCTCCCACCTGAGAGCCATGAACGTGGTGTCCACCTGTGTCCAGCATCTCAAAGCCAGAACGTGGGAACAGCCTGGCACGCACAGTTGAACAGGTGGGCACACACGCGGAGATATCACTCAGTCAGGACAAGAGAGAGGCTACGACGCTCACCACAGCGTAGACGGACCTTGAGGACGCAGCGTTTGGTGAGAGATGCCAGACACGGAGGACATAATGTGGGCTCCATGGACAGGAAACGCCCAGGACAGGGAAACTCGGACAGGAAGTGGACTCATGGGGGCTGGGGCTGGGGAGGGGATAGGGCTTCCTTCAGCGGTGACAGAATGCCTGGAACTAGGCAGAGAGGACGGTTGCACAACACTGTCATGTACCGAAACTTCCTGAATCACGCACTGCTAAGAGTTGAATTGTGCAGGATGCAATTCTATCTCCAGAGACTTGAAAGCTTCTGCTCCAGGCTTCCCTGCCCCGGAACTGCTTTCTCATGGGCGCCCCCTCCTGGCCGCCAGAAGGAACGTCTATTTACTTACACAGTATTTCTTTTTGGCAGTTGGGGGATGGAGGCCAGGACCTCACCCATTCTGAGCCGCACCCTGGCCCTGGAAGGAGCCTTTAGAACCAACTCCTTCTCCACCCACGGCTCAACCGCACCCCACCCAGGGTTCCCGAAGTCCCCAGGACACAGCCCAGTCCGAGCTCCTCCCATGCTACAGCCCAGCACCCCGCACCCCACTGTGCCGTGCCCCAATCCAAAGCCCTGTTCCTGTGCCCTGTGAGCACCGCGAGAGCCCAGTCACCTCCCCGGCGATGCCTCCCCGCTCTCCCCAACCCAGACACCGCTTGTGGCCAACCAGGTTTCCCCGCAGTCTTTATGGCCACTGTGATCATTTCCATGAGCCACTTGGAAGCTGCTTTTTTGTTTTCTGAGACAGGGTCTCGCTGTGCAGTCTTGGCTGGCCTTGAACTCACTATGTAGCCCAGGCTTGCCTGGAACTCGCTGGGATCCTCCTGCCTCAGCCTCCCGAGCACTGGCATAATGCGCGTGTGTCACTACGCCCAGCTAGCGTGAGCGGCGCCTGCGTGCCCAGGACGCCCTTGTGCCTTTGCCGCCTCGCGTACCTTTGGTCTCGTCCTCGTAGACCTTGATGCCCTGTGGGTGTGGCTCACACTACGCCCAGCTAGCGTGAGCGGCGCCTGCGTGCCCAGGACGCCCTTGTGCCTTTGCCGCCTCGCGTACCTTTGGTCTCGTCCTCGTAGACCTTGATGCCCTGTGGGTGTGGCTCCCGGGGGAGTAGCGTGGTGCTGGACAGCACCCTGGTCTCCCCGGTCACCTTGTCCTTCTCCACTGTGATCTCCACCGAATACATGGCTGGTATTGAGAGGCACGGCGTTAACCGCATCCCATGTCCCCACTCCACCCGCCGGGCTGCAGCCAAGCGGGAGAGGGGAGCCAGCAGCGAGCGAAAGCAGTGGTGGGGACAGAAATGAAGCACCGGACACAGCCCTCTCCAGCTCCACAGCCTGCCATAGCTCCCCAGTGCCCGGCCTTGGCCTTCGAGGCCCATCCTGGCATCCCTCCTCAATGCCCTCTCTCTTCATCTTTTCACACCCGGCCTGCTTGGCCACCAAGCCCCTGGGAGTCGACCCAGGTTCTGGGCAGCCACCTGGAGATTCTTCCTGATGCATCAGGCTCCCTTAGGGATGGCCGCCAAGCCCTGGCCCCTCACAGTCCCCAGCACTGCGGCCTCAGAGGCTCCTCCTCCCCGGGGCCCCTTCCACGCCTGCCTCTCATCTCTGGTGGGTGTCACTAGCACCCTACGTCCCTCTCCACAAGGACCTGGTCCCGAATAACTCCTGCCCCGCAGGCGCCTCGACCTCACCGTGCCTGGGCCCTCTCCACCCCCTAATACCACCAGTCACCAGACTGCACCCCAGGGCCATCTGACTGTCCTTCACCACCTGGAGTCCCCAGCCTTCGTCCTTGGGCCCTGCAGCCGGCATCTCCCATTGTGCCCTCCAGCCACCACCAGAGGGCGCTGTGAGCACCCAAGTCAAGTCTCTCCTGGGTCCAGAGCCCCCCAGGGCTCCCATCTCTCTTTGGGTCAAAGCCCAAGTCCTCCCCACAGCCACAGGGCCCGGCAACAGTTTCCTCCCTCCAGCTCTACATTGTCTGACTCACTTTTCTACATAAATTAACTGAATAGTCAGCCCTCCTGGACTGACCTCCATGGCTGCGCACAAGGCACTTGACAAGCACTTGTTGAATGAATGATGGGCATTTAATCCCTTGTCCTTCTGTTGCTTAACACTTCTACCCATAAAAAAAATCTATTTCCGAGGTTGCCCGTACAGTTGGGCAGGTCGTGTACTGCACAAAGTGCTAGGAAAGGGACTGAACTCGACTCATGCACTGTGGAAGCTGGGTGGGAAGACCCCAAAGCAGGACGATGCCACATCCCAGCTTGGTCACTTCCGGGGAGGCGGCGCCCCCCCCCCGGAGCCAGTCCTCAGCCTGTGCCCAGCAGCAGGTAGGATGTGTGGTGAGCGCTCCAGGTGAGAGCCTGGAGGCCAAGAGAGGGAAGCCATGGGTGTTGCGGTGATGACGCCATGCGTGAGGCCCGTCTTCACCGGGAAGCCTGGGCCAGCGAGGGACAAAGGCATCAAGGCAGAGCTGTGGCCTGGGTCCAGCTGCCGCTGCGTGACCTCTGCCCACGAGACCCACGGGACAGGCCTGGAGGCGTTCAGCCCGGTGGGGCCTCTGCCGGGATGGGGGTGAGGACGGGGCGGGGCGCGGGGATGACCCACCTGCCTTCATCATGGTGGAGCCATCGGCTGTGCGCACTGGGGTGTTGGAGACTCGCTGCTCTGCTGCGTGGAGGAGGGGACAGAGGGGTCAGCAGGAGGGCGGGCCCAGGCTCCCAGAGCCCTGGGGACACCGAGCCCTGACGGACACACACACACCGGGACCCCAGACGCAGCTGGGCCCCAACAAGCACGCAGACCCCACCGCACAGCTAGAGGCCGACCCCTCCCCGGAAGGAGACATGCTCAGCCCGCGGCCTCTCTCGTCTCTCCACCCACATGATTTTCACAGAATCCCCGAAAGGCTGGCCCAGATTTGTTAATTATTAATTTTTAATTCTTCAGTAAGACAAGGAGACACCTCTCGTGAATAATTAATGCTCTGCAAATCAGGCTGAATCCTCCTCAGGGGGCCGCAGATCCACTGTCTGGTAAGAAACGTGACTCTGGACACGTTCAATAACGCATTAAAAAAGGGCCAGGGGTTTAGCTCAGTGCTTCCGCTGCCTGCCTTGAAAGTGCAAGGACCAGAGTTCAAACCCCAGTGCCAAAAAACAAAACAAAAACAAACAACAACAACAAAAAAATTGAAAAAAATGTAACTTGTTTAATAAATTTACTATTGTGGCCTAATGAATGCAACTCATGTATACTTGTATAAATGTACATTTTTTCTTTTCTTTTTTTTTCCAGACAGGGTCTCACTATGCAGCCCAGGCTGGCCTCAAACTCATGGTGGTCCTCCTGCCTCAGCCTCCCAGAGGGCAGGGATGACAGGCGTGCGCCACCGTGCCTGGCTTCTCAACCCATTTTGCAGTTGCAAAAGCTGAGGCCAACCTGCAAGAAGCTCAGAGCCTAGGCCAGGGATTTAGCCCAGCGGCGCCACGCCAGCCTCGCAAGCACAAGGTCTCACAAGGTCCCGAGTTCAATTCTGATACCAAAAAACAAAAACAAGAGAAGCTCAGAGCGTGTGGGTGTGGGACCGAAGTCAGTCACCCTGTGCCAGGTGCAGACCCTCCCACAGCTCGGGCCGCAGCTGGACGTCCCTGCCAGCCTCAGCTTCCTCACCCGTCACCGGGTGCTGTGGTGCCTCCTCCCCAGGGATGTTGTGAAATTCAGGGAAGCGATGACGACAGCGATCCAGACTCAAATCAGGGCTCAGGAGAAACAAAGACCATCTTTGGCCCCCGCCCTGCCATCCCCTCTCCGGCCACCAGAGGGCGCGGTGGCCGGCCAAGCGCCCCTCCCGGAGCCGTACCTTTGGGCGTGCCGGCCCCGGCTGTCTGCAAGAAAGAGTGAGAGGTCAGCGCCCGCTAGGCCTCCCTCAGCTGACCAGGGTCTCCTTTCCTAGCTGAGGACCGGCCACGGGCTCAGGAGCTCATCAGGCACCCTAGGTGCACCCGCACCCCGTCCCCCACATCCCTGGGTTGTGTCCACGTTCAGAGAGGAAATCTTTCTCTCGCCCCCACTATCCCACTGGAGAATTCCTACTGGTCCTGTGAAACCCACATCCCATGAGCAGCCTGGCAAGCCCTGTCCTGATTCAGATGCCTCCTCCGGTGGGGGCAGGGGGTTTCCCACTATGCCCGAGGCCACCCAACGGGAAGGGGTCTGCATGTCCTTAGTCTCCCTAGAACCAGAGGACAGCACACGAAGGGTTCTGCCTTCCCAGCTGCAGCTCTCGTGGGCAGAGCCGGGGCACTGTTGAGGTTCTGACAATTTTTAAATTTACTTATTAATTTTTTTTTCAGTTTATACTTTTTTTGGCGGGGGATACAGGGTCTAGATACATGGTTCAGGCTGGTCCCGCGCTCAACTACATAGCCCAGGCTGGCCTCAAATTCCCAGCAATCCTCCTGCCTCAGCCTCCCAAATGTTGGGATGACAGGTGTGCACACACCTGGCTGCTCCTATCCCTTACATATGGGGGAAACATGGCCCAGAGGGACAAAGCAAACTTGTCCCAGATCACACAGCAGTTGTTCTTGTCTTGGTTAAGGTGTGGGGTCTCACTCGGGACCTGCAGGCCACAGTGACCCCCTTACCTGCTGTGAATTCAGCACCACCTTGGCCTTGGGCTCCTCTCGGGCTGGGCTGGGGACGGCTGCGTTCTCCTTTGCCGTGGAGGGGGCCACCTCTCTGTTCTCCAGCGCGTCAATCTCCTTCTCCAGCCTGTGGTGGGGGGAGGAGGGTGGCGACCACAGCACGCCCGGTGCCTTCACGGCACTTTCTACCCCTCGCGCGGCCGGGGGGCACCGAATGCGTCCTACAAACTGTGAGTCTCCTTTCCTCGCTGAGGACCAGCCATGGGCTCAGGAGCTCGTCAGGCACCCTAGATGCACCCACTGCTCTCCTCCTGAGGCTGGGAGCCATGTGTGATGGCGCATGCCTGTCAGCTCAGCACTCGGGAAGCTGAGGCAGGAGGATTGCCTCAAGTTCAAGACCAGCCTGGACCACAAACCGAGATCCTCTCTCGAAAAACACCAAATAATTGGGCCAGGGATTTAGCTCAGTCGGGCCACCCCCTGCCTGGCAAGCACAAGGTCCTGAGTTTGATCCCTGGTACCAAAGAAACAAAAAACAAAACAAAGAACACCAAATAGGTCTGGGTCAGCATGGCTGGGACCCCGCTGGGCCAGGCTGGACAGTGTCCTGTGCAGGGCCCAGCATGGGGCGGGGCCAGGCCTCTCGGAGCCCCAGGCTGGAGCAGACACCAGCAATCCCGGGCGTCGTTTTCCTCTGCAGTGACCCTGTTGCCCTGAGCTGGGCCTGGGCCTCCCACCTAGCCGCCAGCCCGGAAACCCAGGCCTTTTGTCCCCCGGCCACTTTCCCATCCTGTCCCCTCCCCGCTTCCTGCGCCCAGCTGCCGCAGCCTCCATCAGTACTGGGCTGCGGGTGCGGCCAGCTGGGCTGCCGCCAGGACCCCTGAGGAGGCCAAGGCAGGCTTCCTCCCTGATGCCACAGGCCCGCCACCCACACCTGTCCAGAGAGGAAAGGCATGGACCAGCGCCCCGCTGGGCGCCCTGTGCCCCAGGACAAACCACACCACCCACCTGCAGATGGACCCCTCCAGGAGCCGGGCCCTCTGCTCGTCCTCCTGCATCTGCCTCCGCATGTCCTCGTCCCCCTCCGAGGCTGACGATGGCGTCCCCTCCAGCAGCCAGCGTTCCCGCAGCGCCTTGGACTGGGGCACAGGTCGGGGTCAGATTTAGGGTTGTGAGCCAAGCACTGTCATCCCAGTGCTCAGGAGGCTGAGGCAGGAGGGTCTCCACAAGCTTATCAGCATGGGCTGCACAGTGAGATCGTGTCTTCCCACCACAAGATCTGGGGTCCTGGTCACCTGTGCCCCCCGAGCGCCCCCGCAGGCCCCACCTTCAGGTGCTGTAGCTGCCGCCTGTCATCCTCCAGCTGCAGCCTCTTGCTCTCAATCTCCGCCTGCCTCCTCCGCCGCTCCTGGGGGACAGGGGACCTAACATCAGCAGGGTGGGCGCAGGCACTGAGACCCACCCCATCCACTGGGCATCAGGAACTCACCGCGATGGCCTGGAGTCTCTCCTGCTGAGATGCGGTGTCTGCCGCCAGGACCCTGGGGACGGAGACAAAGTCAGGCTGGCCCCGCCCCAGTCCCAGCCGGGCGCCTTCCCACCTAGGTGACAGGAGGCGGGTGGGGTCGTCCCTGACCCGGAGCCCAGGCTCCCCTTTCCAGCCTCTGGGCACAGTGCTGTTCTCTACCTTATACTTCATGAATTCATTCAGCAAACCTTCCGGCAGCTCCCACCGAACTGCGCTTAGAGAGGCAGGAAGGATTTAGGAAAGAGAGCATTAAGGCTGGGCCATAAAGGATGCATAGGAGTCCACCAGGCATCAAAGAGCAGAGAAGGGGTTTTGGGAAGACCTACACCCGCACCCCCTGGGTGGATCAGGACAGCCCCTCCGCATCCTCCACGCACCAAATACATTTCTGCAGCTGCAAAGGGGCACGGGGAGAACACAGGGCCCCGCCAGGCCCTCCCAACCCAGAACCACACACAGCAGAGAGCAGCAAGGTTTGACCCGACCCCTCTCATTCAGGGTTTTTTTTGGGGGGGATCCTGTCAAATCAAAAACCTGGGATGCTTACCCTTGAGCTATACCCTCAAGCTCCACCTTTTGCAAATTTATTTTAAATCAGTGTGGTGGCACACACCTGTAATCCCAGCAGTTAGGAGGCTGAGGCAGGAGGATTGCCAGGAGTTTGAGTCAGCCTGGGCTACACAGCAAGATCTTGTCTCAAAACAAAAACAAACAAATACAAAGAAGGGGTTTTACAGCCAGGCATGGCAGTGCATTCTGTAATCCCAGCACTTGGGAGGCTGAGGCAGGAGGATTGCTACGAATTCAAGGCCACCCTGGACTATACATCAAGACCTTGTCTCAAAAAAACAAAAAACAAAACAAAACAGAAAAAAACCCCAAAAACAAACAAAAGGAGTCCTGCTAAGTTACCCAGAATGGACTGGAATTTCAGATCCTCCTGCTTCAGCCTCTCAGGGTGCTGGGATGACAGGTGTGCTCCATGCCTGGCCCTGTGCCATCCTGTGTCTTTTGGGAGAGGAAGCCAGGGACATTCTAGCCTCAGCACCCAGGGGTGATATACGTGGGTGCCCCAAAAGCAGCAGTGTTGCCAGTTTTACCCAAAGGAGACAGGGACTTCACGTGGGGGCGAGGCGGCTGGAGAAACCCTCCCCCACCTGTCCCTGCTCCCCACCCCAACAGGAGGCGGAGCTTTGGGAACTGGCCCCTCCCACTCCTGGTACTTCTTTGGGCTTCTTAGGTGCTCATTAAATGTAGGCAGAGTTTGGAAAACCAGGTTTAATCAGGCCTGTTGGTGCACGCCTGTGATCCCAAGACTCTGGGAAGCTGAGGCAGGAGGATCCCAAGTTCAAATCCAGCCGTTCAAATCCAGCCTGGGCAATACAATGATCTAGCAAGATCTGTCCCTGATAATAGGAAAAATAACAACCAGGCCTAGTGACAATCATAATAAGCTCAGCCTCCAGGACTAGGCAGGGAGGGGGAAATGGGGGGTGTCCCTAAGCTTAATTGGGGAGATGACCTAAGCCAGCTGCCTAGTCTGGGCACTGCACAGGGAAGTGGAAGCAGTTTCCTGGCCTCACGGGGCCTGGGGAGCCACGGTCCCACGCCCTGACAGGTGACCCCACTGGCTCCTCCCTTCCCGCTGGGTGGCTACTACGCCTGTCTCTGCCCTGCCCAAGGGCCCCGGTGTCTTCCCTTGCGCCCTCTCGGGCGCCCTCTAGGGGAGGCTGGGCTCGGCTGGGTGGGGTCAGGAAAGAATTGATTCCACGTTCTGGCCAGGAGACAGACGGGTTGCGATTCTGGGTTGGCCCTTTTATTTTTTGTTGGTCTATTTCTTTCCCCCAGTACCGGGCATCAAACTCAGGATTTTGTGCTTGCCAGGAGGCGCGTGTGGCACCACCGAGCTACAACCCCGGCCCTGGCTTGGTTTTTTGAGACACAGTTTTGCCATAGAGTTCAGACTTCAGCTCAATATGTAGTTCTGGCGGGCCTCAAATCCTGGCAATAACCCTGCCTCAGCCTCCCCAGGCTGAGATTACAGGTGTGCCCACCGCACCCGGCTGGTGTGATGCCAGTACAGTAGCAGGGCCCTGGGCCCCCTTGACACCCACCGCTCACTGCCCTGGGCCCCCTGCCTCCTTCCTGGCCCCCAACAGCCTCCTCTCCACCTCACCAGCAGAGGCAGCTGCTTCTCCCTCACCCTAAAGTGCCCTGGCTCCCATCACCTCTAGGAGGAAACCACCGCCTGGGCCGGCTTCTGTCCACCTCTCCCGCTCCAGCCTCCCCGTCACTCCCTCTGCTCTGGCCCTGGACCTACAGCTGTGGGGCCAGCTCATTCCGACCACAGGGCCTTTGTCTCTGCTCTTTGGCCTGCCTGGTGAATTCTCCCCAAGCTGGAAATGGGTCCAGAGCGAGCAAGCAGAGAGGTGGCTAAAGAGATTAACCTTCATCAGCCTCCTTTTCCAGCGTCAAAGGGGTCTCCAGGGACCCACTCGGGAAGGAGCCAGGCCTGGGCCGGGGGTCCAAGCAACAGCACAGGACGGGCTGCCTGACGCCCTGTCCTCATCCCAGCGGTCTGGTGGCCTTTCAGACTGGATAGAGGGACACAGGGGCGGCTGTGTGTCTGGCTCCCCAGTCTGAAGACAAGGCGGGCAGTGTCCTCTGAGGCGGGGCAGGGGAAGGTCAGAGGGACACGGGGCAGAGGCCCGGGGCCATGTCCCCAGCGAGGCCGGGGAAGAGGCTGTGTCTCACTTCCCCTCTCTGCATGCGTCAGGGTGGGGTCCCAGGCAAGGGGCCCCAGCTTCTTCCCTTCTGTCCGCTCCACCCCTCCCACCAGCAGCCACCCCTCCCCAGGTCTGCGGGCGCCGGAGCCCCGCGCTCCGCCCTCGGGCGCCACCGCTGCGGGTGATGGATGGCAGACCCGCGGGAGGCGGTCGCCCTGGCAACCGCGCCGTCCCTATGGCAACGCGGAGGCCCGGCACGCGGGGGTGGGGCCTGCACGGAGCGTCTCCCGCCCCCGGCGCCGGGGGCTGCAACGGTGCCTGTCAGCTCCAGGGGCTGCCTGGGCGTGGGGGGCAGGTGCCCAGGCTGGGACAAGGAGGACGCTTCCAATTTTTTTTTTTTTCGGTATTGGGGACTGAAACCACGACCTTGGCAATGAGCTACATCCCTGTACTTTTTAGTTTTTATTTTGATACAGGGTCTGGCTAAGTTTCTAAATTGCTCAGGCCAGTTTGGAACTTGAGATCTTCCTGCCTCAGCCTCCCAGAGTCCTAAGATTATAGGTGTGCACCACTACATCTGGCTTTGGGGTGCTCCCAGTTTTGAGACTCACACCCATCCGTCCCAGAAGGGTTTTGGACGAGTCAGCCCCAGTTAACACAAGAGAGTATGCAACTTCATAAACCCTGAAAATAAAGCAAAATAAGTCTTCAACTCTAATAAAACAGCAGCAAAATAAACACCCGCAGGGACTCATTACTTCCTGCCAGGCACCATCAGCCCTATTTCACAGATAGGGGGACTGAGGCCATAAAGTCTGCTATGAGGAGGGTCCTGAGAACGGCCCGGCACTGTTGTTCCTGTCCTATGGGAGGGGGGCTTGAACACCGTGAGGAAGAAAACGGGGTCTCCTTGAAGTCTTGCAGGCTGGTGGGGGGGTAGGGGTCCGGGGAAACACAGGCCAATCACAGAAGATCTTTTTGTCTGTTTAAGATTGTCACACTATGTAGTCCAAGCTGGCCTTAAACTCGCAGCGATCCTCCTGCCTCAGCCTCCCCATCATTGGGATTGGAGGTGGGCACCATTACGACGGGCCTCACACACAATACATCTTACAAGTGGGTGAAGAAGCTCAGTTTGGCTAAGGATAAGGATGACCTAGCGCACTGAGGCACTGCCTAGGGCCGGGGATGGGGGACCCGACAGCCCTCTAAGGCGCACAGGCATCCTGTCCTCCAGCGATCATTTTTCTGGTGCTTGGAGCAAAATCTGGGCTGCGCTGGTGTGGGCGGCTGGGGCCCGCGAGGGCGTAGTCTCCAGCACGCGTGAGAGAATCTGGCTGCAGGCGATGAGCTCATGGGGCCCGGGACATGGGGGGGGCTCGCTTTGCAGGGCGGTCGTTTTTTTTTAAGGTCCAGAGAGGTTATGCAACGGTCCAAGGTCACCCAGCGGCCAGGGCGGCAGACTTGGCGGGAGCCCTGCGTGGGGGCGGGGTCGCACGTGTCCCTCCACGCGCGGGGATGAAGGGTCCCGGCCAGGCAGCGAGGCCCAGCGCCCGGGACATTCCTGCCGCTGTGACAGGAAGCCCCTCCTTAGCCAGGAGGGGAGTCACGCGGGACGATGAGGGTGCGGGGGTGGGGTTATGGCTGGACCTGGGGCTCTCCCTGCATTCCCGGGGAGCCCCCCCCCATCCCACAGCTCGCTCCTGGCCCTCCATGAACCCCAATCCTAGCCCTGAATGTGCTCCCCTAGGATTACCCGGGAGCCAACTGTGACCCTACCCCTGAAGGTAACCCTCACCCTAACCCTAAGGCCCAGGATTCTGAGCCTCCAACCCCCTCCAACCCACCCTGCTCAAAACCCTGCCCCAGCCAGGCATGGTGGCACACGCCCGTGATCCCAGGGAGGCTGAGGCAGGAGGATTGAAGTCAGCTGGGACTACATAGCGCAAGACTCCGTTTCAAACAACTCCCTAACCCTAACCCTTTCAGAACCCCGGCCTGCATTTGGGGTTGCACTGTGGCCCCTGTCCTTCAGCCTGGCAGTCCCTGACCTCCTGCACTACCGCCTCTCCCAGGAAGCCATCAGGGGCCTCCCTGACCTTCAGGAAGGAATCCTCCCCCAGCCTCTCAGCCTGCAGCACAGGCAGCCCCTAGAACCACGCTGGTGCCTGGGGATTCTTGAAGGCTCAGGGCAGAGAGAATGTCACAGCAGGGAGGGCAGAGCTGTTTGTTGCCATTCACCTGGGGAGGGGCAGTGGGGTATGACTGGGGCCTGTGCAGGTGGGTCCCACTGCAGAGACCACGGTGTCCCTCCCACCCCTTGCTGACTCCAGCATCATCTGCCCAGACTCGACCACAGGGCCTTTGCACCAGCCTCGAGGCCTCCCAACCCTGCTCCTGGGCCCATCCTCAAGAGCACTTTGCACATAGGCCTCCCTGACCACCCTGACCTTCACACCACAGCTTGCAGTACCATGAAACACCCTGGCCACGTTGATTTTTATTTTCTTCTCCCCACCACAAGGACAGCACAGTGACTTTTTTGTCCCCATGTCCCATATTTACTGTAACATCTAGGGAAATAGACTCCTGTTTTGAGAGGAAGCCCCGGCCCACAGGCACCTCAGCCCCAGGATCACCTGTTCAGTAAGTACTCCTTTCTTACTCAGTGTCACCATTTACCCTTTCTATTTTATTTATTTTTTGTTTGTCTTTGTTTTGAGACAGGGTCTCACTATGTAGTTGAGACTGACCTGGAACTCACTATGCAGCCCAGGCTGGTCTTGAACTCACATCGATCGTCCTGCCTCAGCCTCCCCAGGGCTGGGATTACAGGTGTGAAGTCCCGGCATATTTATTTTTTATTTTTAGGGTTATTTTTTTTTAAACAAGGTCTCGCTATTTAGTCCAGGCTGGACTTGAACTTGAGGCAATCCTCCTGCCTTAGCTTCCTGAGTGCTGGGATTATATGTAGGTGTGCACCACTATGCCCGACTCCCACAGTTTCCAATGATCTAAAGCAGGATCTGGACTCCACACCAAACACATTAGTATATACACCATCCAAGTGCCCATCGAAGGAAGGTGGACACACACAGCAAGGTCCAGCTACACCGTGGAATATTACACAGCCAGGAAGAGGCTATGACATCCACCACAGCACGGCCGGACCTTGAGGACGCCGTGCTCAGTGAGAGACACCAGACACAGAGGACACCGTGTGGACTTCACGGACAGGAAACGCCCAGGACAGGTGACTCCAGAGACAAGAAGTAGACTCCTTGGTGCAGGGCTGGGAGGGACTGCTCACGGGGAAGGGGCTTGCTTTTGAGGCAATAGAATGTTCTAAAATTGACCATGCTGACGGCTGCACAGCTTGGTATCAATACAAAGTTGAAAACCCCTTATCTAAAAGATACAGGATGAGAAATGTTTGGAATTTTTAAATTTGGGGCATATTTGCCTATCGATAGTAAGATCTTGGGCCACAGCCTCAAGTCTAAACATGGAATTCATTTACATTCATTCAGACCCTCGACACACGACCACAGCTTCGTGTTTTCAGGCCTAGAAGATGGCACGCCTGAAAGGCAAGCGCTCAGCGCTGAGCTGCACCCCTAGCTCTTTTCACTTTTTGAAACAGAGACTCAATAAATTGCCCAGGATGGCTTCGAACTTTCCATCCTCCTGCCTCAGCCTCGCAAGTAGCTGAGATTACAGGTGCTCAGCCCCAAGGTGATTTTATAGGGTGCTTCTAGCTCACCTGTGTTTTGACTGCAAGAGTGGGCGTGGAATCTCCCACTAGTGGTATCTTGTTAAAGCTTTAAAAGTTTCAGAATTATTTAGATTAGGGATTAGGAACCTGCACTTTAAAAGCTACTGGACTGTGTGTTTTTTGTTTTTTCTTTTTAGACAGGTTCTCACTATGACCCCCAGGCTGGCCTTGAACTCACAAGGATCCTCCTGCCTCAGCCTCCCAAGTGCTGGAATGACAGTTGTGTCCCACCGGGCCCTGCGTGAATTTTTTTTAAGCAGGTGGATTGCATAAAATGTGAATCACATCTTCAAAAAAGCTGTAAAGAGCCACCTAGCACACCTGTAATTCCAGCACTTGAGAGGCTGCGGCAGGAGGATCCCTGTGAGTTTCAGGTCAACCTGAGCTACACAGCGAGTTCAAGGCCAGCCTGAACTACAAAGCGAGATCTTGTCTCAAAAAAACAAAACAAACAGCAACAACAACAAAGCTGTAAAGGATTCTATATAAACAGAAAACACCAGCCTTTGTCCGGTATGGTGATGCATGCCTGTGATCCCAACACTCTGGGAGGCTGAGGCAGGAGGACTGCCCAGCCTGACCCTGTCTCAAAAAATATAAAGCAGCACTGGGGATGGAGCGCAGCGCAGGGGCCCTGTTTAATCTCCAGTACTCCAAATAAACAAACTAATAATTAAACACCTCCAGTCTTCCCTCCAGCCCTCCCAAGGTCAAAGGGTTTGAACGCAAACTACCAAAGGGCACCACACCTGGCACCGTGACAGGTGTTCCTGGACCTCCCGGCTTCTGCCTCTCACAGGCCCTCCAGGCTTGCGCACCGCTGCCCTTGGTGCCACCGTCTCCCTACGACTGTCTGGTTCACACAGCCCATCCCACCTAGGTCCTCACCCACCGCAGGGCCTGGCTCGGGTTTCCCCCCTCAAGCTCCAGCTTTGAAGCGAGCTTTGCCCTGGTGACTGGCTGTGAGTGTCCCTGGACCTCCGCTGAGATCCCCAGGGCAGGAGACAGCCATGCTGGCCCAGTTCTAAGCTCCTCAGATGCCCGGAAGGCCCTGCAGCCTCCTCCTGGGGCAAGAGGACACTGTGCCGCTTTCCCATCACCCTCTCTCTGTGCATCGGGGATCATCTCTCTGAGTGAAGCAGGCTGCTCAGCCTGATTCTGGTGCTGGGTGTCTGCCCACCTAGACACAAGTACTGCACCTTCAGCTCCAGAAGATGCCCTGCAGCCCCTGTTCAGCCTGAGCCCCAGCGTGCCCTGGCCAGCTCAGGCACCATCTACAGTTCCTCAGGCCAGCAGGGCAATCCCCCACAGCACAATCCAAAGAATGCTTCCTTCTTCATTGCTTCCATACCCCCTGGCCTTTGCACATGCTGAGTCTCTGCCAGCTGCAGCCTTCTGCCTGCCTGGTAAAACCCTGAACACCCTGGACCCTGGTGGGAGGGACCAGGAAACCTTCCCCACACCTCTCACCCTGCCTGATGCTAGGGCACTCATCAGGGGTCTGCTGAATGAACAGATGATCGGCTTCCTAGACTTTGAGAAAGGGCATACAGAGCATAGCAACCCATTTTCCACCTTTAATTTTAATTAATTCATTCCTTTTCTTTCTGGTGGTACTAGAGATTGAATGAGCTCAGTCTTCACACTGAGCTACATTCCTAACCTTTTTTTATGTTTTACTTTTGAGAGGCAGGATCTTGCTAAGTCACTAAACTGCCCAGGTTAGGTACAAATTTGCAATCCTCCCGCCCCAGCCTCCCAGAGTGCTTGGATGACAAGGGTACACAACCACATATGGCTCATTTTTCAGTTTTAAAATCTGAGAACTTTGGGCCAGGATTTAACTCAGCGGTGCTGCCGCCTATCTCGCAAGCACAAGAACCCGAGTTCAACCCCTGGTACAAAAAAAAAAAAACCGACAAAAAAACAAAAATCAAAATCTGAGACCCTTGAGGATGGACCGGCTGTGGTGGGCCTGAGGCAGAAGCAGCCCTCTGAGTGGCCTAAGACCCTCTTGCTGCCCAGCCCTAAGCCTTGTGTCCCCACAAATGGGGCTAGTGGGATCTCGTCCCCTTTGACAATGAGAAAGTAAGGCCCAAAGAAAGAACGAGATAAGGGAGGTCCCCCCAGTTGTGCCCTGGCACCCAGAGCCCCGTGGAAGCCACCTTCCATGTGGCTCAGTAAAGCAACCAGAGCCAGGCATGGCGGCCTGATCCCCGCAAGCTCCTGCCTAGCCTGGGCAATTTAGTGACTTAGCAAGACCCTGTCTCAAAACAAACAATACCAAAGGGCTAGAGATGTAGCTCAGGGCAAAACTCCTGGGTTCCATATCCTGTACTGAAAAAAAAAAAAAAAGAAAACTAAGCAAGCTGGAAAGCCGCTGTCAGGTCGTCTGTGTGGTCGTCAGGCCCTCCGCCCACAGCCATGCTGGACACAGCAAGGTACCGGAAACCCTCCTGACCCCACTCTGGCACTTCAGAGGTACAAATCTCATTCATTCCTGAGCTGTTCAGCCCTGCGCAAGTCACTTAACCTCTCTGTGCATTCGCTCTCTCTCTTTCTGTAAGGATCCAGCAAGGTCACACCCATGACACCCTCAGAGGCCCCAGGACAGCACACAAACGTGCCTGCCCGTCTCAGGCAGGCTTCCTGTGTCACCCAGCACTACCTCATACTCTTATCTTTAAAATTCACAATCTTTTGGGCTGGGGATTTAGCTCAGTGGCACCGCACCTGCCTCGCAAGCACAAGGTCCTGAGTTTGATCCCCAGTATCAAAAAAAAAAAAAAAGACACAATTTTTTAAAACCAAATCTTCCCCCCACCCTTTTTTTCAAACAGAGAACAGTACTCTGTGAGAAAACCAGAAGTTGCAGCTGCAAACAACAAAACAGCTACGGTGAACACAGCATCCCACTATCAGATTCCATTATCACTAGATAACGTTACCTTTTAACCTGCTCGCTGTCTTATTAGAAAGAGATTAGCAAACGTGAAAGGGCGTGAAGGACCCAGTGAGCACCCAGTTGGGACTTCGCCTTTGACAATTTCCAGCTCTGAGCTGGCTAAGGGCAGTGGCCTACGTCGTCTCAATGGCCAGGGACAAGAGTTCGAGACCAGCCCGGAACAAAACCAAACCCTAATTACCCTGACCTAACCCAGCTGGCCTGTGGGCCGACACTATTCCCCTTCCCCTCCCCAGGGTGGGTGCCTGCAGGACCGCAGAGGAAGCCCCCAGCTTCCGGTCCGCACCTTTGCAGGGTTCTCCTAGCCACTTCCTTACTCGCTAGTTTTCATGAAACCCTTCCACGAACGACACTCACCGTTCAACAAAATTTAAATTTCCTTAAATTCTCAAACGCATTTCTGAAACTTTCCAGCTGCCTCCTGCACCATGGAAACCGACTGAGGTAAGTGGTGATGGAGAGATCACGCTGCCACCACCCTTGCCTGGCTCTGTCCCTGAAGCCCACTCCACCCAGCCCCGTGAGTGAGGGGCGGGGGGTGGGGGGCAAACTGGGGCAGCGTCAGAGTCCCCTGCCACTGTCCTGGGGGAACGGATGACAGGTTCCCTGGCTGCAACCAGAAAAGTGACCCACGGTGAGGGATCACGAGGCCACAGAGACCCACGACCGAGTACCCAGGACACTCTCCGTGCACTGTGGGACCCTGGGCAGCTGCTGCCCCTCTCTAGGCCTTAGGACCCCCGGGGGGGGAAGGGGTGGCAGGAAGGGGAACAAAGGGGCCCAACCAGCAAATCCCCTTCCTCTGCCACTCTGGGTGGGACTTTTCCTGCCTCCCCCTCTCCACCGCACCTGCCCAGGCCCGGCTGTCTGGAGGCCCAGAGGCCGGGGACAGCGGAGCAGATAAACAAGACAGGGACTGAGCCTGGAGTCCAGTCGGCTCCCCTGAGCCCCTGGCTGGGCTCCCGGGCGGGTGGGGTGGGGTAGCAGCCCGGCCTTTGTCTGGTTTTTCAAAAGCAGAGGACACCGTGTGTCTCGCCTTCCGCGGCAGGGAGGGGTGAGAGCTTCCACCCGGCCCAGGGCGTGGCGGGTCACTGCAAATCCCCCGGGAAAGTTGCTGCTTGCAAAACACAGCAGCCGGATGAGCAGGGCAGCGGCCAGGTCAGGTTAGGCCGGCGCGAAGGACCTCTGTGACCTGCCCGGCTGGGGTGGGGACAAGGCCCAGAGCAGGCACAACCAGTCGCGCCACGCACGGGTCCTCACAACACTCCGCGACCTCCAGGACCCACCTGTGGGAGTGAGGGGCGGGGGGCTGGGACAGGACACTCACGCTGACAGCAGGTGACCTGCGTCCCGAATGACCACGCAGACTCATCGAGCACCTGCTGTATACCACAGTCTTCTGCCGCCTGAGCCCCTTACCAGCCCCACCAGCCCCAAGGCCGCCCGAGCAAGACAGGGCACACGCTTCTGACCCCAGCCTATTTGTCACCCCATTCGGTCCCTTTCTTGGGGCTCCTCCGGGCCGGGAGGGGATCAGCCTCACACTCGCGGCTGGGCACCGCCTATGCCGACCCCGCGCACCCACCAGACTCCGGGGAAGCCCCTCCCGCCAGTGGCGACGCGGGGCAGCACCTGGCCCTGGATCTGGGCT